TAAAGATCCTCGATCACTTTTCTTTATTAATAAAAATAGTACAGTTATGACTCTTCGAGTCGCCCTATGGGCCTGCTGTATACATGTGGATATATCGCTAATTTTTAATATTTTACCCAAAAAATAAAAAATAATGTCTCGGAAAAATGTCTGATATTTCTAGTAATAAAATCGATTGCATAACACAGATGTTCGATCAATATATTACATGTCATACCAAAGAAGAAAACCGAAGGTCATGGAACTTCTGCATATACAGTGGCTTAGCAATTTTATATATGTTTATTAAGAAAAAGCCAACAGCACTTCAGATGCGAAGCATTCTCCTTTCAGGAGACAGTGGCTTAACAGTAGTTTATGACCTTTTAATATATATACGTAGTGAGAATAATTTAAAAACCTTTTTATTGCATTACAATATTATAAGTTGCATAAATTAGGAATTGGTTTGTGTTACTCTTCTGCAGGATTAATTCTCACGATTAATTTTTATTAATAACAAATATTACGAATAATACGAATAATGTCTAGACTTATACGATTCTGTGATAAGAATGGGGCTTAAAAAGGCTATAAGGGTAATAAGTATAACGTTCCTTATCAGTAGTTTTATCCAAATTTATATGTCATGGGGGAGTTGGAATTCCTAGATCGTCAAGATCGTTGACTTTTTTCACTTCACAGATACGATCATCAAATCTAAGGGGAGTTAATTTTACCAGAAAAATAACAAAATACACCCAGTATTTGGAAGTTATGACCGAATAGACTTGCTTTACATGGTGTGATCTAGATTAAGTTACCTTAACCCAATTATTAATTATATAACTTTTTTTCTGGCAAGTCTTTTAGATCTTGCGAATAGAGGTATAAAAATAAGTGTTTTTTTGTTTCTTGTAGGTGGGTTATAATAATATTTTTTGCTCGTATATTTTTTACCTGACCATATTTTTTTTAAAAAAGTAATGTAATATTTTATTTAATAGAGATTACGAAAGTGAATTTTTACTTATTATATTTTTTATTTAGAATGAAAAATGAGCAGTAATAAAAAAACTGCCACCACCAAGACTAATGACACCAACACTACCCCCAAGACTAATAACGCCACCACCACAAGTAATAATAACACCACTACTTTCACGACTAATAACAATAACCCCTCTGAGAACTATTATATCCCCCAAACACCACCCAATCCAAGACCTAGCCAAAGGACATCTAATTCCAATTGTCAATGTAGAAGTAGGAGAAACAGATATGGTAGGAGGTAACTTTTATTAGAAAGCGCTCTTCATATATTTGTGAAACTAAGGCTAAAACTCATTTTATCGGGCCATGTCCGTGCATTAAATTAGACAATTCAACCTATAACCCCAGAGAAGATGATGACTATAATGTTGATGAAAGCAAACCCTTGGACAATTTTTCAGAAGAAAATTCAGAATAGTGTAAGAAAAATGATTTCAATGAGTATGAGAATCCTGGACAATGACAAGAAAGGTTAAATCAAAATTAATAAATAGTTCATATTTTTGTCTGCAGTATGCAACTGTGGTGTATTTTTTTTATTTGTATATCATTTCAGCAATTTTTTTATGAAATAAAAAAGTGGTTCAGTGGGCTCGCCATTTTTTTTAACTGATCGTGTGAATAGGCTCTACTTATTAACCTATACTTTTACTGTTACTATTGGAATTAAATTCTGATATTTATTTATATAACAATAGAGATGATAAGTTTTTGTATTGACATATTCGCCACTACCCCAAATACCCTATATATGATTTCTTATATTTTCTTTTTTATAGTTTTTATCATATAAAGGACAGGGGACAGATCTATTAAAATTAAAATAATTACTAGATTTAAAACTATGTTTTAAAGTTAAATAAGGAAATTGTTCTAATACCATTTCAATAACATGTTGTTGCCTTTTTTTGAGGTCTTTAGGTAGAATAGAAATTGATGGTCGAAGTTTGGATAGTGTAGGTAGAACATTTATATGTGGTACAAATAATATCTTTTTTTCGGCATTCTTTTCGATTTGTGGGAACTCAAAAGTTTTAGAGTTTATCCAAGGATCAAATCCAGTTTTATTCTTATACCTTTTATATAACCTAGAACAAATTTTATCCGTCAAAATACCTGGCAATTCTGTTAATTTAGCTTCCCATTCCAAATATTCAGGAGTCAATGTTTTATTAGCTTTTGCCTGTATATCCATATTCCTGTTTTATATATATGACTGCACATATTTCTAAATTAACAATAACTAACAAAAAATAAATATGTCTCAGAAGATTTAAGCGAATTGTGCTAGTATAAGTTTAAAGTTCATGCTATTACCTCAATTTCAATTTCACCCTGTTCACATTTAATATAGTAGGATCCAACTTTATATCTGCCTTCTATACCATTATCATCATCATGATCTAACTTGCATAGCAGGCATAAAGATTCATCAGTAATTCCATAATAATCGTCATTTCCATCACTACCTTTTCGATATAAATTAGGATACTGATCCAATGTTTTATTACAGAAATAAGCATAGCTATGAGCTAGATTGGATGATACACTTACTTTAGTCTCCAGTAAAGATTTGTTATCCTTACTTATCATATATTCCAAATTAGAGATATAAGATGGTTCAGTAGGTATACTTACCTGGATTTTTGATATGTCTGAATCTTGATTATGAGAAGGTTCAGAGTCGGTCATGTAAGAGCATGAAATTTTTTCACGCAGTGGGAGGTTAGTACCACATTTTTTTGTGATACGACTCACTTCATATATGATTGTATCAATTTGCGTGTCAGTTAATTTTGAAAGTTTATTTGTGCTATAAATCTTAATTCGCAAAATCTTATCTTCTCCAATTTCATTAAACAACATATATATAGATTTAGTTAGTTGTGTTTTTTTACGCAAATTTACTCAGAAGATACCTGAAAAATAATATTACATTTCATCATAAATTTGACCACTCACTAACTCATATACTTTTTGTTTTGTAATATTTTTATATTTTTTCAGAATCTCAGATAAAATTTCACTATGTCTTTTTTTCGAAGAACTTTCTATACGAATACCAACTAGCAATTTCCTCTTGCTTAGCTCGTATAGTATTGAATTCTGCAAAACATATTCTTTCAAATAGATGTACCAATTTGATTGCAGATGATTGATTACCAGTAGAATTTTTATCTATATTAACAGTCTTAACGTAAACTTCTTCCGAAGAATCCATTTTTAATTCTTGTATTAAAGGGTGTATATCTATTTTGGGAGTTTGCATTTTTTGTAAATCAGTATTTTGCTCTAAAGAGGACTGTTCTGATAAATTAGAGCTAGAGTCTTGAAATTTCTTTTCCCATTTTTTTTCTTTTATTGTGTTACTAATATTTTCTTTTTTCTGTATTTTCAAGAAATCATCTATATCTTTATCTTTTAACAATTTGGTTTCTGTGCTGATAGGTAATACAGAGATTTGAGACTTTATCTCTTCCTGATGCATATCAGAATTTGAAGTGTTGTCAGATATATCAGATGCTGGAGCCTCCTCATTTTGCAAGACCGTCTGCTTATAAATATCACTAGAATTTGTTTCAGGGAGAATAGGATATGCAGAAGATTGGCTATTCTTTTTCTGACATATATCAAAATCAGATATATTGTCGGAACTATTTTCTATCTGTTTAGAAGTATCACCAGAGTTTGTTATGTCTGTATAAATAGTGCTCTGTTTCTCACAAGTGGTAATATTAACCAAGGAATGATTGATTTCCTTAGTATTATCTGTTAATAATTTGGAGTTAGTATTAATACACTGGTTTACAACAAGATTGAGTCTATTAACAATATTCTCAGAAGAATTAACTCTGACGTCTAATCTATCTACAATATTGTTTTGCAACTGCATTTGTTCTAATTTCGAAATTCTGAATCTAAGCTCATTGATTTCAGCATCTCTTAACTTCGTATTATTTTCATTCTCTTTTGCAGATTGTTCCAATTCCATGATTCTAGCCAAAAGCCCTGTTTCCTTAGCCAAGAAATCAGCATTTTTATTTCTAAGTGAAACATTTTCAGCTTCAACCTCAGCATATTTCTTTTTAATTTCAGTAATCTTGGCTACAAGTCTGTAATTCAATTCTCTCAATGAATCATCTTTAGATTGTATATTTGCCATTTTTTTATATAAAATATGGATATATTCAATTCTTTTATCATAGAGATATATATTCGTGTGATGAAATTTCGAGATATATACTATGTAAACAAAAATAAATAAATAAAATCATATAACTGCGTGAAAAAATTTCACGCTCTATCAAAAAATTTTTAATTATATGCAAGTTAATATATATCGATAACAATACAATAAGATAAATTCACAAAATATATATGCAAAAGTAAACATGATTATATATGTGAAACTGAGCCACTAGTCAGCTTTATTGATATAGAATAAAAGTAAAAATGAACAAATTCTATCGCAAGTACTACATACCATGTTGCTAAAAACTTAATGTAAATTTTATTAACCTCTTTGTAATAAATCGAAAACACTGAAATTTTTAGCAGAAATTCATGATAATCAACAGAACAGGTAATAGATATTTTAATCTCCGTAGGCCAAGGCAAGAAAGATAAGCACACATTATTCTCAAAATATATGAATATGATTAATTCAAGGATTCGTTTATTATTATATCATTAAAAACAAATTATATTGAATACATGCACAGCTTGTTAGCATAGTTGTTTGTTTTCTACTTTATCCTCAAATACCATACTAACTAATCATTTGAGCTCTACACTTTTACCTAAGTAATTAGATTTTAATAACTTCAACCAATGCATATCATGTTTCTGACTCAGTTTCTTCCTATCCTCAGCTCCTGGTAGCCAATTAATATCTTTATTCATGAAAGATGGATAGCACTCAATTTCTTCCTCACCAGCCCAATAGAAATCTATTAACATTCCTTGATATTGATCTTGAGATTTGTTAACCAAGATGTTGGAATCACAAAGGTTAGCAAAAATGATATTTTCTTTATACAATTTGCTGATAGCTTCTTCAATATCCTCGAAAACCATTTTATATTCATCATGACTAAGCAAATTATTGCAGTTGTAAAGTGGCTTGGCCTTAACATAATCCATCATGACCATATAAAAACTATACACCACCTCTTTGCTAATATAGAGTAATTTTGGCACTTTTCCAATTTTGCTACACAACTTGTGTGCTCTCTGATTATCCCTTAGATTGTAGTAGAATACAGGCAAATTTGCCTGCGTTTTTACACTTTTTTAGCTCTGATTTACTTTTT